AAATAAACAAATATGTATAAACATACGCACTACACACGCACACAAATTACATAAAATATAAAATGTATAGGACGTTTACATATTAAACGAGGACATAAACTAGCAGAACAACAAATATTTGAGGAGGAATGTCGGAGGAACGCGAAGCATTTGCATGCAACCGGTTGTAATGTCATTATGAGATTTCCATATGTGCATATCTCCATTTCTCAATGTCACACACACGATCATTTTATATTTCTATTTATATAGAGAGCAATAATTTCTTGAGATTATGCCGATGAAAAACAGTTCTAAAAAATATAGTTTGTAAACAAACACGCAAAGATAAATTCAGATGCATACACACAAGTGTATTTGATTGCAAGTTTCACATTCTTCTGATTGCTGTTAAATTTTGTCGCAAAATCGTATTATAAATAAAAATAAAATATTGATTAAATATTGTTTAAAATAAATTTATCTCTCCCCCCCCCCCCCTCTCTCTCTTTCTCTCTCTCTCTTTCTTTTTCAAACAAAAACAGATGTAGCTAAATCAAAAAAATTATATTAAACAAAAAAACTTTGAAAAAATTTCTATTGTAAAAAAGACCTAAGTGTGTTTTCAAACCAGGCATCCTTTGAACTCATCAACACAATGTTTAATCAATTTTTAAATGTTCAAGAAATGACACTTGCTTGTAAACTACTTCCTTTTTCCATTATACAATGTATATGCGAGTCATTTTTTTGCTATGAAATCACAATAGCCGATAATTTTACTCTGGATTTTTGGTTATTTCACTTGAATTTAAACATGAAATGCTAACTTGAAAAAATAAAACAAATAAAATTTAAAATTTTCAATTACCAAGCTTTGGTTTCCACAAAACATGAAACTTTTTATTTAATTTTCAAGACATAATTTCTAATTTCGTTATTATGTTAAACAAATGTGAAACTAAAAAAGAAGAAGAGCAAGAGAAAAAAGAAAGGGTGAGAGAGAGATAGGAAGAGTGTAAAAATGAATGGAAACATTATCATAATTATTATTATTTGTAATTTTTATAAAATTCAAAAATGATAATCATTTAAAAATTTGCGGTAAAAGTCCTTTTTTGATGTAAAACATTTTTCATAACTACGTTTTGTCAAATATAAATATATGCAGAAGGCAGACAAACATTACCAACGCCAGGCTCGTTATTGATTTTTAAAATATCAATAACATTTTAAAAAGTCTTTCCTGACGTTTTCATCATTGCGTATCACTTGAAGTAGTTCTTAAATAATGCGACAACGTATTGATTAATTAACTATTATTTAAAGTGTTTTATCAAATACAAAATTACAAAATTTATTTTTTGGTTCTTTTCAATCAAACATTCAATTTTTGTTTTTCAACCGACTTAACGCTTGTCGTAAGTTTTCCAATCTATCTTTTGAAGCTTTGTTTTAAAAACTTAAAATTGCTGTAAAGAAATAGAACATTCTCATAAAAAAGGGGCTGATGGGACTCGTGTATATGTATATATATATATATATATATATATATATATATATATATATTTACATAAACAAAATATGTGAAGAAATTCTACGTCCACAATCAGGTTTTTAGTTTCTTTTTTTCAATCAACCTAAATGACCTTTTAACACATTCTGACTAAAACAACCATTCACTGCAAAGTGTCTGGATTGCCTTCCGAGCTCAGACGACATGACATGCTTAAGTGATTCCAAGTCAAATACGTAAATAAAATCATGTGCGCATTTTAATCACTGGCAAACTTAATTTTTTAAAACCAAACTCAGTCATACACAACTCTACGTTAAATAACTGACGTAGGATCATGCATTATTGGAAATATCAAATATAAACGTGAACAGAAGAAGCAAGAAGAAAAAGTTAGCATTGCTCTTCAGAATACAACCACTTATGAAAAACAATAGCATTGGAAATCCGAGCTGGTACATGAATGGTTGTGATAAAATATATTGACAGATTTGTTGTATATATATATAATATAAATAATATATTATATATATATATATATATATATATATTTATATATATATGTTCCATACCCCCAAACTCTGTAAAAAAATTATGGTTTCCTAAAACTTAATTAGCCAATTTGTTGTTTGAAACTAGCTTCTTTTATTCTGATTACGCGTTAATAATACAAAATGTGGTGAGTTATTATCATTATTATCATTATCATTATTAATTCAAAAAAATACAAATTAGAAATTAGATAGCCAGCTGAACTTGGAGTCACCATAATAACCATCGACTGCTGGACTTGAAACCGCTCAAGGAGATGGCGTAAACAACGGCCGAAGGGAGTTTGTTCCATTCTTCCGCCATTCTATTTGAAGAAAATTTACGGTAGTCTTTATGACTAGAACCTATAGTTAGCTTGAAATCATGATCCCTTATTTAAACATCATGTGCAAAGAGTAACGTAGGGACAATATCGGCAGGGAGATGACCATGTGTTATTCTATATGAGAAAATAAGATCGGCTCTTAGACGTCTGTAGACCTGAAAGGGCAACACTAATTTCCTCAATTGGTCCTCACATAGAAGACCTCTGCAGTATATTCTTACAAGCGTTCCTCTTGTCTGAACCTTTTCCAGCTCCTCTATAAAACCAACTTTGTGAGGATTTCGTACTTGGACACCGAACTCCATGTGCAACCTCACCAATGACTTGTATAAAGTTACAAAAACTTCATCTGAAAGGTATTTGAAATTCCTGGCAATGACACCTAGCATAGAGTTCGCTTTGTGAACTACCTTCAAAACAAGACTATTATTATTTCTATTGGACTATCTAACATTTGCCAATCATTTATTTAATTTTTGTACGCGCTGTATTATTATTATTATTATTATTATGCTATTCTTTCTATTGACATTTCTCAAAGGATAGTATTGTGATTAAATGCTTTGTTGAACAAATAAGTTTTTAACTCTCTTCTGAAATATTTTTCTGGAACGATTTGCTTCAATCTTGTTGGAAGATCATTCCATACCTTGAGCAGAGCAACCTGCACACATCTGTCACCCAGATTTGTCCTGTTCTTAAGAATTACCATCAGTTCTGACGAAACCCCGTATGTCCCACATCAACTTCAGTTCTTTTACGAAAAAACCTCTTTCAGATATTCTGGGCTACCACCATTTACGTTTGAGTTTGTAAAAATATGTTAATATTCATTGCTAAAAAATTAAAGGTTATCCCGGTATTGGGGAATCTTTTAATTACAATATTGTCATTTTATTTACATTCTATGTAAATTTTCTGAAATATTTTTACCAACAACCCGGTGACAATTCAAATAATTTTTTCAAGCTCATTAGCTTCAATCTTTATTAAATCTCATGAGAAAAAATTGATTAAATTTTTTTAGTACAGATTCATGTTAGTAGTTATACATTAAATACAGATTCATGTTACTATCAATAGTTATACTTTAAGTGCAAGCACATAAGTTCAAGAACAGGTACATGTACTTAATTTTAGTATTATTGTATAAAATTTTTCATGCTATAGGAAATGTTGCAATAAGTGGTCATTTATGGCTCCTCTTTGCTCGTGCGTGGCGTCGAATCTTCTGGTTGTGTCGTGTTCTCGCTTGTGATGTTGCAGCTTCCCAATGTTTTCTCAGAGATGGTATTGTGCAAAAACTCAGCAAGTTCACATTTGAACGAGTGAATGTAAGCACTTTTTATTTCCGAAGTACATTTAGAATCAATATTGTTTTTATTTTCATGAAAAATATTTTTTTATTTGGATAACTAAATCGTCCACATTAATAAGATGTGTTTGTGGCAACGTTAATATTTTGCTATCTTTCTTTTGCGACGAATACGCTGGGCTTTCGTAAAATATTGTTGATGTTGTTGTCTGTAGTTGTTCATGCGGAAAGCAATAATTGCGTGCTAGTCATGAGCCTTTCAGTGATTTTGCTTTTGTTGAAACTGAGTACTTATTTGGCCGTTTCTGCAGAGAATGTGGAGTTAAATCGGTTTTTTATTTACTCATTAAAAAAAATTCTAAAGTTATTTTGGTTGATTGTTTGGTAATTAAATTGATTTTTGATTGTTTGAACATTTTCAGTAAGCAAAAGAATGTTTCGGAATTATTGTAGGCAACATATACACAGTCGATATTTTGCTGCATTAGTTTATGGAGTGTCGCTAGTCTAGTCTCGACTGCCTGACTCCAATGCAAATCATCCATTTGTTTTTAGACTGTTTTGTCTGGACTGTTAACAAAAATTTAAATGCTCGACATGAAATGAAATATAATGAAAAAGTAAAACGGGAATTAAATTATAAACCTACTAACGATAAAACGAAAAAATACATTATACATTTATTTCAACTTCATACGCACTCACACAGTATATTAGTACATATTACAGAGGCGTTTCGAGACATATCATTTCAAATAAAAGTCAATCATTGAATTGAAATAAAATGATTATTTTCTATAAACACAAACACAATACATGTTACTATATACCAAACACTTCATTGTTTTGCATTGACTGATGCCTTCAAACGTAAAAATAAACAAATAAAAATAAATAAAAATATATTTTGTATATATATTTATATACGTTCTTACTATATATTTGCAATGTGTATTAACGTATGTATATCAAATGGCAATAATTGCATGTGTTTTGTGAGCGCGCGTGAATTAGAATACTTATACATTCATCTGCAGTTTATCTATCCCATAACGTTAAGTCCTCTTGTTGCGAGTTTTTGTGCGTATTGTGCGCTTTGGTCATAGCGTGAGATGGAGAAAGTTAATAATTTTGAGTCGGGTGTGAATAATTTCAAATAAAACATGTTCTTACTTTTGTTTGTTGCACGTTTTTTTTATACTGATACGTAAGGATACCAATACAATTTATTTAATTTTATTAAACCATGCACATAAACATCAGCAAATAATTAATATTTATCTTTTATACTTGTCTAAATAAAAACGTTTAACATGAATATAGTTGTTTATTTTGTGGTATTTGGTATTTTTGGATATTTTGAAATTTTTGTGTTGGTTTCATCTCAGTTGAATACTTATCAAGACCCAATGAAATGTCCGGCGGAGAGATGCTACTGCTATGCCGATGAAGATCTCGAATGCACAGACCTCTTACTGACTTCTGTACCAAATTTTTACCACACCAAGTACACCAGAAACATAACATATGCGCTTTTAGATTTGAGTGAAAACAAGATTAAGGAGATTCAACCCTGGGCTTTTGCTGATTTATCGCTGAGATCGATTAAAATCTGGCGCAACCACAAAAAAACTGACCTAAAACTTTATGGAGATTCATTTCAAGGATTGAACGATTGTCTAGAAAAGCTCAATCTGAAAAAGAATAATATATCAAAACTTCCAAAAGGTTAGTTCATAAATGTAATTTATTTGAAATTTAAAAGAATCGTTATCTTGAAGATGCCAAAAATTAGATTGCGATCGTATGGTTATAAGAACCTCGGATTTAAATTGAATTTTCAATTCATTGATCTGACGAAAAATTAGAAAAAAAATACAAACGCTTGACTTTTTTAATTTTCATGCGTTGTAGTAATGTAAAATATCACAAAATTTAATTTTGGCTAAGTTTCAATAACAAAATACGCTCTGATTCTTAATAGAAATATCGTTCACATGCCTAAACCGCACGAAGACTTTAAATAATAATGTCAAATTTTAAACAAATGCTTTTTGAAATTGCTAATTTTTGGCAGACACTTGTGTCCTGTGCTTCTAATTAAATTTCTTTTTTTGGTTGTCAATCTTTCCATTTAATTGCTTCACGATGGTTGACGGCACGAACGAACTAGCTAGCTCACATTATGCGTGGCACCTTGATAAGTTGGCAGTCCAGCAGTATGTATCACAGTATGGCTTCACTCATCTGGTTTATTCTCCAAGTCCTTTTGTACCTTTGGCAAAGTCTTTTACTAGTTATAACAATGCTTTTGATGACGCAGTGCGATTGTGACAAATAACAATTTGATTTTTTCAATTTTTCGTCTGCTCGTTTGTTTGTAATTAATTTGACTATTGATTATTAAATATTATTTGACTTCAAAAAACTAGATGAACATTTATATTTCTTTTGTTTACCTTCATTCTTTACAATCCCATTGCTAGAGGCAAAACCAATGATTTTATGAAACACAAATTTTCAAATGATCTTGTTTTCAATTTCCTTGAGCTTAATTATATCATGTGTTTCAAGCTGCATATAATAAATGATATGCCATCATCTGCAGTAGTTAGATGGTGCAGGCAGTTTATATTAAACTGGATGCCTAACAATGCACACGCAGTCTTTTAACCGTCAAGCAAGAAAACACTGGCGAAATTTCATTTTTGGATACTTTATTGATAACAATTATTTTTATAAAATTGAGTTAAAAAACGATGCCATATTTTTTTTATAACATTTTTGTTGCATTATTAAATCAAAGATGTTAAATGCGAAAAAGAATGATGAGTTTATATATCAAGCTTGTAATTTGTTTTTCAGTTTTCAATTTTTAAAAATGTAGAGCGTTTTTATATTTTCATAATACGCACAATTGGTGTAACTTTTATGTTAAATGTATAAAAAAATTCATTCCTATATTTAAGTTGTGGTGGGCAAACATTACTTAAAATTACGCCTTTATTTCCAAATGAACATGCAGCGTTGCTAGCATGGCGCAGTTGTGTTGCGAGGCGAGGCAATTGCCATAAAGTCTCGTGTTTTTATGTATCTTTTCTCCGTGATACATCAAAGTCTTTCGCTAGAACTTCAATTTTTAATCAACATTTTCCATCTTTACCAAATTCACTGGAATATTTCAACGCTTTGTAGCTATTCTATTATCAGCTTTTATAACCACAATGCGGGCAGGATCAACATTAAACCATAAGACTATACTCAACTTATATTCAAAAATTCAGTTATTATATGCAGAAGATTTTTGAACATTTTTTTCTAGTAGCGTTTTTGCAAAATTTCGAAGCAATAATGTCACACGCAATGATTTATTTTATGCAGTCATGACAAGCATAAAATAATTACGCAAAGAAAAAATGTATTATATTAACTTACGTGAATTTTTTAAGAATAATTTTTATTTTGTCACGCTGAGGTGTTTTATAAAAAAAACTTTTAATGCAAATATTGAACAAAGTTTTTACAGTCGGAAGTCTGATTCGAGATGCTGGGGTCGAAAGTCTTTATGAAGAATCAAAAATGTCGGTAATAATAGGTACAAAACTTGGGAATTGGATAAAGGCAGGCATTGGAAGCAGACAGGGCGATCCAATATCACAATAGGCAGGCATTGGAAGCAGACAGGGCGATCCAATATCACCAACAAAAAATGGAAAATTCTGAATCGGGTGGAATTGACATAGTAAGGAGAACTGTCAAAGGTCTAAGGTTTGTTGATCTTCTAGTTTCCAGTAAAGAAGGTCTACAGAAGCTAATTGAACTAACACATGCTGGTGGAAAAGATCTTGGGTTGCATCTTAACAAAGACAAAACGAAGGTGATGATTACGGAGAAAGGCAGAAACAATGCGGAATTTCAGATAGAATCAAAAAAACTCGAACAAGTAGACCAGTTTGTGTTTCTTGGCAGTCTTATAACCTGTGACAACAACTGCACAAAAGAAATTGACAGAAGGAGAGCAATAGCCCATGAAATGTTTGCATCATTGAAGGAAATATGGAAAAGTGGAAATATATCTATAAAAACAAAGTTGAGAATGATAGAATCTTGCGTTTTTTCAAGCTTTTCTATGCATGTGGGACATGAACAATAAAGAAAAGATACAAAGACAGATTGGAAGCATTTGAGATTGTGTTACCGAAATTTGTTTGGAATCAGTTGGAGGCAGAAAGCAAAGAACGAAACCATCAAAAATCAACTTGGAAGACAGAAAAGTGTATATGACAAAGTCAGAGAAAGAAAACTGGAATTTTTTTGAACACATTTGTAGAATGAGGGAAGACAGATTGATTAAGATGGTACTAATGAAGAAAAGAGATTGGAAGAAAAAAGCTGGTAGACCTGCAAAGAAATGGATAGACGGCATTACTGAATGGACTGGTGTTGTTATTTTAACTTCAATAAAACTGGCCAAAGATAGAAAAGGTTTTTGGAAAAAAAAGAAATGTAAAAAGCATGCTTAGATGTACACCATCGGTCTCGACGGTCCCCTGATGGACAAAGGAGGATCATTGATTGATTGATTGATCAGGTAGTAGTGGATCAAAAAGTTAACAATGGGGGAAGGGATGGTTGATTTTATTAGAAATTACTGCGCTGAAACAAATCATACAAAATGGTGATGTCATATTTTAACGTTATTATTGCTTCAACAATTTAGAAGAATTACATTCAAGTTCATTTTATGGATGTTGCTTAGATCAGAATTTTTTTATAACAGTTTCAAGAACTAGATTTATGCCCTTGTGAACGTACATCAGTGTCAAACCATTAAATTAAGTTTGGAAAATAAAAAAGAAATTGAATAAAAGTTAAAAAAAAGTACAAAAATATTTTTTTCTAAGGTGTTTCTATAATTGTTGGAGGGATAAGGTGTCGTTTTTTTCCTTTCAATTTCCATTTCTGATGTTTTAGTGTTCTTTTTGAAATTTCTGGTTAAAATTAAAAAGAATTTAATTATAAGAAATTTATAATAATTTTTAAAAATATTTTTAAATAAATTTTTATATTTCAAGACACTATTTTATATCAATTTAGGTTGTTGTATGTGACAAACCATGAATCTGTCAAAAATAAATAAATCGTTTTAATTTTAACAAATTAAAATTTGTGCCATGTTTGTATTAAAAGAAGCCGCAACTGCTTTTAAACAAATGAAAAACTAGAAAATTTTAAAGTTATTTAAAAATTCAACATCAGATTCTTCAGTTTGAAATGTGTTGGATACCGACCTTGAAACATTTTCTATTTCATTCGCTTAGAGAAATCTTCTCAAAAATTGTCATGAATCTTTTCATCGAAAATACCTTGCCACACATTTTTATGACGTGTCATTAACTTACAGCTTCTTTATTAATTAACAAAAAATAAATATGTTTTAAAAGTTTAAATTGAATTAATTTAAATAATAAATTGATATAATTAATTAATTAAATTAATAAATTAAAATGAATTGAATTAAAAATTCTAAAAAAGGTTTTTCATAATTTATTTTTAACTTGTTGTTTAATGACAATTATTTATTTACAAATTAATTCCTGAATATGGCCTGTTCACAAAGGACATCTTTCGGAGTAGATGTTAAAAGCGGTTTTTGATGCATCATTTCACCGTTGATTTTCACTTCTAAATTTTAAATCGATAATTAGTCATTGTTTCCTGGCTAAATTTTTAAATTTTCTACAAAAATGTACTCTTCGGTAAAATTATGAAAAAATTATTTTCGAACAATCAAACAAAGTAATAAAATATCACCGTATCAACCAGGTTGTAATTTTGTTTTATTCGCTATAGAAAAAGTTTGGCCAAAAACCTGACATCAGGGCATCCTACATAGAGGGCCGCAAATTTTTTAAAATTTTTTTCTGTGTATTTTTTCCTGTTTGTAGAGTAGCCATATAAGCTTATGCTACTTGAGCTTCTGGTCTCCTGGCTGTGCCTGAATAAATTGATTAAATAAAATAAAAACTAAATTAAAAAAATTATTTAACGCAGGTCTCTTCAAGGAGCTTCGTCGTTTGAAAAGCATCGACATGCAGGAGAACCGCATCAAATCACTGTCTCAAGAGATGTTCCTGGGGGCCACAAGTCTTTCTGAGATCAATTTCGACCGAAACCATATTTCTGTTAACAAAATTATTAACATTTAGCTGTACAATAGTATTTTATTATGAATGTATTATGATGATTTTCTTAACTTAATTATACTCCAAATAACGTGTGGGATGTGGTTTAAATTATTGCGGCCTTCAATTTTTCTTAGTTTGATAAGCTATACCAATAAATTATTGTTACAAACTGAAATTCTTCTTACCATTACTTCTTTAAATTTCTGTCTTGTAAGTTAGCGACGTTACTTATTTTGTTACAGAAGCCTCATTCTTGCTTTCCTCTTCCACATTCAACAATTAACTTACAGTTGCGGCATGTTTTCAATTACTTCTTTTGATCAAATCCAGTCATTTGGTCAGTTTCTTAAGATTTTTATGTATTGCCAAGCAGCTGAAACTAAATGTAAAATTCAAGTTAGCGGAAATATTTTGTAATTGTTATGGCACATTTTTGTAAGGCTACTTACTTTTCAACAGTGTCTATTAGCTGAAAACATACATACAGTTAGTCAGGTCTTAAATGTGCGCAAGTTTTCATTGGTATATCTTTCTTTTCTATGAATCTAAGCAACGTTCAGTGGTTTGTTCCAACCGCATTTCATTCATTGACAGCGTTGACCGTTGGTTATTAAAACTCTGCGAACTTTTAATGTAGTTGTTGGTAGCTGTTTGTACCTGGCCTGCTTTTTTTGCACAAAACTGATGTGTTTGACATTATAATCGAGTACAATTTCAAAAACCATACATTCGCTGACAACTTTCAAATTGTTGTGTCTGGTTCTTCTAATACACTTTGATCCTTACTTCATAAGTTGACTTATCTTTTGGTGTTGATGAATGGATATTATGAAATTAACTAAAGTTAAATCAGTAGAAGACTTAAATTTTGTTTAATGGCAAGTGACAACTGATGAAATAATTGATGTCAACTCTATATTGATGGTAACCACTACCTGCCTGTAGTTTGAGTGTGACTTCTGATACGAGCATGACACATGTGTTCATATGTCACAATTGGTGACAAAATTATCATTTTATCATGTAAATAGATTGTGGGCGTTCTTATACTATGTTTGAGAATAAAATCAAGAAAAGATGACATTTGATAATAATTTTTAGGAATACAATAATGAAATACCAATAATAATATTTTTAAATGAAAATATTAAATATTTTTTGTTTGCCTATTTAGAGGCTGAATGAAAACATTTTTCTTGGATTGGACAATTTGAAGAAATTGGACATCTCACGGAACCACATCAACTTCATAGATTCTGATGCATTTATTGGTCTCTCTTCATTGGAATCATTAAATTTGCGTCGCAATAAAATTGGGAATCTGCAGCCCAAAATATTTGAAAAATTGATATCATTGAAAATATTGGACTTGAGTCACAACGCAATTCAAGCTCTGTTTCCTCTGATGATGAAAGGAATGCACTCGGCCGAGACTCTGCTGCTTAACAACAACCCTATCGTTATGATCAGCAAAAACACATTCAGTTCGTTGAAAAAATTGAAAGATCTCCATTTAGAAAAATGTGAATTAAATTTTTTTGAAGCGGATATATTTAATGGACTCACAAATTTGAAACGACTTTATTTGCAAAATAATAACATAAACACTTTACCAAATGGCATTTTTCGACCTTTAAAATCTCTCGTAAAACTTCAGTTGGAATACAATAGATTGCCATTATTAAATGCTTGTGCTTTTGATAAGTTGATATGGAAAGGTGCGATTTACATAATTGGTAATCCTATTCGTTGTGATTGTGCAATGGCCTGGACCGTTGTTCCTGGCACTCCGAGCGTGTATGGAAAGTGCCGAACACCAAAAGTTGTGTCGAAACAAATGATCGAACACAAGGACAAATACCAAGTTTGTCGTCACCACGGGGTAGAAAAATGTCACTCTGGATTTTTAGCCGGTAGTTTACTTAAAGCAAAAATTAAAAAAGTTACCGACGTGAGCCAAAAATATTTTTCTGAAAATGAAAACAATAACGTGATTAACTTCGATGTTCAACAGAATCCTAATATATCAGTGAAGAACAGACAGGTCATAAATTTCAGGAGGAAGAAGCAAATAAAACGAGCGAACGAGAAAGTTTCTTCAAAAACCCTTGAAGCGAATGTTTTAAAAAATAAACCATTACAAAATGACACATATAAATTAAGAATTTTTTCGAGCAAACCTATGACTAAAATGTTGAAAAAAGAGAACAAAAAATTCACAGTTGCAGATAAATTGCTGAGACATTATGCAGTTACAAAAAATAATGTCAAAATGCAGAAGGGCGACGACGAAGAGGAAGATAAGGAGGATTATCTCAACTGGTTTCTGTTTTGAGGTTCACCACCGAACTGAAGGGACTTTATTACCGTCCTTCGTACACACTAGTCATCAGTAACTTGCACCCTACAACAAAGACTTATAACAAACCATATATATTTAACATTTAGCTTTACATAGTTGTTTTGACTATCAACTTCAACTAGTTAATCGCAAGCATAAATAGCCCATAGCTACATTAAAGTATGCACGAATAACTAATGTTTTGATTTAACGTTACTTTGTAAATCATTAAAAATTTATGTTTGTTGAAAAAAACCATTTTCATAAATATTTCGCAATGCAAATACTATATTTTTTAACTTTTATTTTATTGTTTGCCTACTTAGGGCCTCTGTACATAGACGAATATTGTTTTCTTTTGCCTTTACGAAAATTTATAATTGATTTGTTAATTATGTGATAAAAAATGTTTTACCTGTGTAGTGCTTTCATTGATTATATTCTTTATAGTGCATTTTGGTGTCAATAATCATAACCATTTTAATAAATTTGTTTGCCGGCTTGTAACTGACAGTGAGAAAAGAATATCATATTAAATAAAAGTATATAACAAAAACATTGCTGTATCAAAAATGTGCTTAGTCAAATGTAAGTTTTAAAAAATGTTTAATTGAAAGAGAACAGTCGAGATTTATTCAGAAATGAAATTTATTGAGAGCTAACATTACGATTAATTTGAAAGCAGAAAGTTTCTTTCAGTCTGTGGTACCGATAAATGATATTTCGTAACACATTGTCAAAAAAACAAGTTTTTTTCATATTTTTAAAAATCAGACTCCGACAGACGATGTATGCAATATGCAAAATAAAAATATGCAATATAATTAACAAGAATGTAAAATAATAAAAATGAGTTAAGTGTTTAAATATTAATATAAAAAATTAACGTGTTGTATGGTGTGTATTAGTATGGTACTGTAAGTAAGATACTATAATTTTATTAATAATTTCTTTTGTACTGCGATTAAGTTACTGTCTGTTGAATTTATTATTTTAACCGGCATTGCTTATAGGACGTGTTTTAACACTGAATTAATGAACAAGTTGGTTTGTAGATGGTAGTAGTTATTCAGCGATCCTGAGTTCAGAGGTGTTGCATAAGGCTTACATTACAAAAACCCTTACGGAATGTGTAGTAGTTTTTAATAGTGTGGCACAACTTTTTGAATTTCTAAAATAGCTTGGTACCCTGATGTGAGCTCGTTTGATCATAGAGTATAAAGAGCCTACTAATTTAGGAACCAAATTTTTGAGTTTCTTTAAAGCATTTTTTGTATTGCATTGAAAGTCAACTGACAGACATTTTCATGTAGCCATCTTAATAATTTGGGCTTTTTAAAGAAAGTGTAAAGGCTGGAAACCTCAACTCGCTCCAAGACTTCCTTATCTGAAATATTATTTTGTCAACAAATAAAGTGTTGCTTTAAAATAAAAAGGAAATGAGAAAAATTAAGAGAAAACAATAAATGGGAGCCAAGAAAACTAAAAAATCATAGAGTCAGTTGCAGAAAAAAACATATCTATGAAATTAGTGTGATGTTTGAAAATAAAGCAAAAAAGCATCAATTGAATATAATTCATCGAATGAAAAAATAATGTGTGCTGGATATAAGATATGCCCGAGAGATGTTAAAAGTTGACAAATTATTCAGATGATGAATTTGAGGTATTCCGTGAAAAAAAAAAACTAGAAAGATGTTAAAATAATGTCAAAAATTGGAATTTCAAAATTAAGATAACACTGATCTGGAAAACGTTATGGAAAAATATGGTCTAGCTAAGTGACAAAAACAAAAAAGGTAAAAATTTCAAACAATCAAAAGAAGTATGAAGAAGAAAAAAACAAATGCAAGCCGGCAAAAAAGGGATACGGAGGTCGCCTGATGGACAAACGATAAACTTGATAGATGTGAAATGAAAAATCAGAAAAGTCAGAAAAATGAAAAAATCAAGAATTTTATTACAAACATAAAAGCAAGTAAAAATAAAACAACCGAAGCTTCCGCGAATAGGAATATGTTCAACAAATAAGAAAGCAAGAAACAAAAATGGAAGATTTAAAAACCAATGAAAAACGAAAGATGAAATTTTAATTCCGTAAACTTTCTTTTCGAGAAATTTATAAAATTGGTCAGGAATTTTCGGAAAACAAAATTGGCCAACATGCAAGTTAGGGCAGCGTGATGGCTCAATGGTTAAAGGCGCCTGGTCTTGGCACAATAGCAATAGCAATGACTGGGTTCGAATACAAAGAGATCTCCGCCTACTATATGCAATGTGTATGATGCGTGGTTTGCATGCGTATTCATATACGCTGTGTGTATTAGTCGTTGAAACCCCTGAAGCAAACGCAAGAGAGAGAGTAACCTTTAACCATTTAATCCTATTTAAAATGCAAATTTACGAAATCTTTTTATAAAGATTAAAAACAATATGCTATCTTTAAATTAAACAAAAAAAATTTGTAGCTGAATTGAAAACAGAATGAAAAATCAATTTTTGTAGTATTATACACAACAGGATTATAATAGCATAATTATATATACATATAACAAATCATACAACAAATTTAAAATACGTATTAATCACAATTTCACATAATTCATTTCAAAACATTTCTTAATTAGCTATTCATTCAAATTGTATTTATTATTATTGTTGTTGCTGTCATTGTTTCTATTTTTTATTTTCGCGCATGAATTGCTTTAGTGGACAATAACAACAAAACGATTTTCTATTAATTCCTGCAGCCATGCTAAAGGGATTGTTTAAATGTGAGCATTGTTTATTCAGAAGTTACTCTTGAAAAATCGTTAATCTGCAAATGTCTCAAACATTTCAACAATCTTTAAAACTGCTTTTGTATATTTTCTCTGTATTGGTATCACGAGCAATGCTGCTAGAACAGTTTTTTTCAAATTTTTCCAGATTATTTCCATTGTTTTCAGATTCAAATTCACAGCTCTTAAAAGACTTTAAGTGTATTTTGTTCATGTTGTATATATTATTAGTCACGATGACATTATTTGATTTTGTGCCACCAAGATGTTCATGAGTCGAAACTTCGGTCAAGATTGTGTTTGATTTCGGTGACAGTGGTTCCGTTTTGATGTTTGACTGACAAGATAAGCTCTGAGTCTGAAGTGACTTTGAAGACCTGTGTTGAACAGAAAGTTAGTCATTTATAATATAATTTTTTTTTTTAATCAAACAATATGAATGTAGAATTAATTTAATATCTCTTTAATAAATTACTCTAGACAATCTCTAAAATCGGGTCATTGGAATGAAACAATAGTTACAATAAGCTATCTAAAATTACATAAAGTTGAAAGAAAAGCATACAAATTTACTCAACCAATATGTTTGAGAGAGATTGGGTCTTTGAGAAGGATCGAAATAAGACCAACCATTTTCGCAAAAAATATTTTCGTTGGATTTATCTTGAATAATAATAATAAGAGTTCAGATCCATGATTTTGTAAAATTGTTTTTAAAGCGTTACAGTTTAACTATTTAAATGTTTACATATGTCAATCAATTACATTTAAATAATTAATATCAATAACATCCTTTATACAATATTAGTGAAAAATTTTGACAATCTTACCGTGTCTGATGTTTTGTGGGATAGAGTTGAGAATCGGGTTGTCAATCTTTGAGAAAATTTATTTCAAAATAAAAATGAAAATATAAAGTGTCAGTCATATCTGTACCAGTTTTTGTTCATTTTATCGTTAAAATTTGAAAAGCGTAAACATGCATCCTATCCTACGTATGCGGAAATATTTTAGAGTGACATTATCTCTGGCTTTAGCAACAAGATTTCACTGCCAAGAATACTTATCGCTGACATTAGCAAAACATGTGATTATGATAGCAAAAACAACAACGACGATTCTTTTAGAGTCAAAAAGAACGAACGCTTAAAAATTTCTTCACCACAGTTCTGAAAATTTCCGGTAAAAAGATTATACTTGGCTTACTGTCTGCCATCCAACGATTCAAAAATAACTGTAAGTAAAATCAATTTAGCAATGTGACAAAATTTGTTGCAACGACACAATTGACCACTTGCGTTTGATGAACGTCGAAGTCCCGTCATGCAACTCTGCCTTCAATGAAAGGGTAAACGAAGGACTGTCGATTTTTTTATTTTGTTTCTTTTTAGCACGAAGTTATTTGGCTTTTTTGTACATTTCAAGATTTCATTAGCAAAAAACAAAGTTTTACATACAACGTTTTATTATTTTATTGGAACAGGATTTAGAATAATTCCATTGAAGTAGATAGATACCAAAGCGTTTGTAACAAGAAGAAGCTAAGTTGACGATCTATTTAATTTCAATACGATCTTTTGATATGCTCAGCGTGGAACCAGAAAAAATAACAGACTCCAAAATCAGTTGCAGTCGTTCGTGAATTTAACAAAGAGGCTAAGAAAGGCAAACAGGTTTTTTTCTGAACGTCTCAACTTTTATCCATCATGTGAAGATGGCGTAACAAATTTATTTTTAGTTGGTAGAGCTAGTTTGTTTCTCAATCTGAGAGATAAACAAAATTTTGTTTGAACGCAGTTTTATAAAGACTGAGTAAGTTGAAAAATGCTTCTTTGCTTCAAAATCAAACTTAATAGTGAAAAAAATAATTGAGTCCTAAAAAAAGTAGAAAAGCTCTTCACGCAGAAAGGCATTTGGAGTAGAGAATTGTAGAATTTGGTGATTTTTAGAATTCCATATCCTATTTAAATCAATGTACTGTTTTATTGTGCAACTTTAAAACCAAGAAAGTTAGAGGAAAAATCGAATTTTATGAGGACTAAATTAAAAATGACTAAAGATGACAAGGGTGCTTATTATGTAATTTCATTAAGCGTTTGCGACCTGCTGTCTGTTGCTGAGTGGGCAGAGTCACAAGATGAAGATGCTTCTAAATATTAATAGAAAATTGATTGTAATTAAGTTTACATTGCTATTTGTCGTAATGCTCAATTTTCAACATTTTTATTAAATTACCTTCATTAATATCCCTGGCTGCGTTTGAAACTTTGAAATGTAATTTCTAATTGCAAATTAAGTGCTTTGTATACGAATGAATAATTGTTTAATTGTTTTACTGCTATCTTGAAAGATTTCGCAAACTTATTTTGAACTTTTCTGTCAATACATCTACATTAAGTTCATCAGATCTACATGATGATCATCAAATGCACTCTAATGTGCATAAACGTGATAAAATAGGCACCATATAATCAATTTTAAGACTATTTATGTAACTTGAGAAATTTTTTTTATTTAATTACAACTGAATGTGAAATAAAATTAAAAGTGACTTAAGAAAAAAATTGGTTTTCATTATCATTTGCCTCAATTTTTTGTCATTTCTGTAAATTTATAATTGAAGTGAAATGATTAAAATATTAAACTCCAACGTACATGATCATTAGGTCTTTGTGTTGCGCTCTTCATTTGCTCTTTTTCATACAAGCAACTGAAGCGAGTGAGATGGTCATTTCGTCCGAACACTGAGCTGATGCATTGTTTGTTGAATCTTGCGCAGTCGTAATATGTTGTACTACTAATGTTTTCGTCAGGAAAATTTTTAGAAACATTTTTAGATATTTTTGAACTAACTAACGTGTCTGAAAATACGTTACAAAAACTTTGATTTTTACCGTTGTAGGACGTACTGCTCGAAGTCGTGGAGCCGCCACTGAAGACGATGTTATTATGTTTGTTAAACTTATGGTAATCGTAAGGAAGGATTTGAAGATTCTGTTGATTAGAGAAACCGGAAGTTAAACTCAAATCGATCAAATCATTAGATGACGGAGGCCTGGACGATGACGACGACGAAGTGATGTACTTGAATGATGAATTGCAATTTGTCGACGGTGAATAAGTTTTGTTCGTGAGAAAAAGTCGATTTAAATGTTGAAGATTGCAGTTTGTATCTAAACTATAACTGTTTGATTGGTTGTCACTATTTTGGAAATTCGTCATAGGTAAAGGTCCTTCATTGCTTGGCGTTGTTGCTAAGCTGTTGTAGTTGACAGTGTTTTGCGACTTTTGCTGATTAATCTGATGTTCATTTATTTGTTGGAATTCAAACGATTGAAATCCGCGCTGTCCGGAAAGATTGTTTTGCTGTTGATGATGGAGAGGAACTGACATTGGAGCCGCAGGATATGGCTTAAGAAATGTTTAAATTTTCAAATTTTTCATTCATTTTTTTATATAAATTTAAAATTTAAAAAATTCTAGTTACTCTTTCACGATTGGATTTAACAAACTCCAAGTAACATGACGATCTTGTTGGGACCGTCTTTTGTTGGGAACAGGGATGGAAATGTTGCGGTTGGTGAGGTGTCGTTTGGTGGAAATTACGGTGCCGAAAAAAATGGTGATGGTGGCAGTAGGGCATGCAATTAGTGAAGGATGTCTCCGAGGAACAAACACTTTCGGCATCAAAATTTGGACTTTTATTTGGAAACTTTGCAAAATTAAAATGTCGCTATTTTCAGTAAAATGACGAACTTTTCGGAAATTAATTTAGAATAAATTTTTGCTGTTTGATTATTCTTGATAGTAAAAGTATTATGTTCAATGTATATATGTATGGTTGAGTTAGATGGAAGGTTTTTCTTAGTTAACAGAATTCTCATGTATTTCGAGTAAACATTAATTATATCATTTTGGGCTTAAATAAAAGTCAAACAGTTTAAATAATCTTAAAATAAACATGACTATTCATTTTATTTTATGATAAATAATAAGTTAACAATTTTTCCAATAGTAAAATACAAAAATGATTTTTATAAATTGTTCAAGTCATGCCAACAATGTTTATTATTAATTTTCAAATTTTCACTCATAGCAGCAAATGGAAACTCACAGGAACGTTGTCGTCCGATCCGTCCCTCTTCACTTCCTTCTTCTTAAGCATCTTCATTCAAATTGTTTTTCACATTTAGTTTATTTTGCGACATTGTTTTAAAATATTTCATTCATTCGGCATTGTTATTTCAATCTAAATTACTTTTTTAGTTGATCGGCAGAGCGGCTCAGATTTTAGAAGTGCGCAACAGACCAAACGCACGCTTCCACGCGACGAACCCTGACTACGTCGCACTCAAACGCGTTCTTATCTTCCGAGCAATGTGTACTGGGCATATATTGTATATATGCGTGCACGTTATAAAAAGCAGTTATGTATGGTGATTAGCAGAAATATTTCATAATTAGCATATGACACTAAAGGGTCATTAGCATATGTGCTGATAGCATATTTTTTGCTAAGGATAATTAGCATATGTGCAGTTAAAGGGTCATTGGCATGTCACCATGTGCCGTTAAGCTATCAAAAACCATCTTTGATACACTGCCCCTTGTATGTATGCAACCAAAACTCTAAAAACATTTATTGAACGCTACAAAAATAATGTTATTTAAATTTTCAAAATTTATATAGCGAATAAGAAGTAATCCTTTTAGTCGAATGCAGAAGCAGCACCATACACCAAGCAGCACGCACAACCGGTGGGCCGGAGTCGGATGAAAAATATTCGGTCCCTCAAAAAATCCATCTCCCGACTCCAGCTTCGGGTTCCGAATCCAAGAAAAATTATCCCCCTTTGTATCATAATTTCACTTTATTATAACTACTAAATAAAATATATTTTAAACAAACACTCAAAAGTCACGCGAGCATTTGCAAAATTTATCAAACTTCACATTAGCAGAACACTGAGCATAGTGTATGCATGTAAGGATTAAACCATGGAAGTAAAAAAAAATGGAAACTGGCATTTGAAACAGATTGGCATAGAAAATAAACATCGAAAATGTCTGAATTATATTTGCAGTAGTATAAGGATAGTCGGAGCAATTAGGTTTAATAGTGCTGAGGATATTTACAAGTGTTACAGATGTCAAAATGAACTACGTAACAAGATAGTGTAGTGACGTTTCAACGATGATGAATAAGCACGTTATCCCAGAAGTTATAAAATTCAAGAATGATGAAAAAATGTGGAAGTAATCTTATACCTGAATGTTATAACATATGTACTGGTTGTAAAGGAAAATGCCGTAAAAAATAATTTCAGTTTGACATGTTATTTATAGCCAAGGCTGAGTGACAACTTTTGAAGTATTTTCGTACTAATACAATCTTTTTTCCTCAAGCACAAATAACGGAATGAATTACATTAGACATGTTGAGTGAAACAATGGCAAAGCAAACTGTAAAAATCAACTGTTGCGGCGATCAAGCTTGCAGTAGAAACAATAATTTTGTCAAGCAGATTGTTGTGTGATAAAATTGAAAGTTTCTAAGTAGTAAAGTTGGAAATGTCGTCAAATGTGATCTTTAAGTTAAAATATAGCAACTAAGCTATAGTAGACAGTTACCAATAGATTTGTATGGAAAATAATTGAATAAAATGAGTAAAAAGTGGAACTTTTTTGAATAATCAATAACAATAATCTCTGGAATAAAGTAGGCAAATTTGGTTTCAAGCCTAGCTTGGAGATTTGGCGTTTTAACTAAAAAAGCAATATGGTTTAAATCAGCGTTTTAATTCAACAATAAATTTGGATTAATTGTAATTATAGTTTTAATCATTAACTTAAAAAAATTAAAAAAATATTGCACAAACATCGATGATATCCTTGTTCGTTCTGCTTTCGTGTGGGTCGCTGTATTCGGTGTACTTGAGAAGCACTTTGTCCATATCTGTGCTTGCATACTGAAATAACTTGTTTGTGCCGCTGAACATTATCAGAGCAATTTCACAATCACATAATACGCTTAGCTCGTACGCTTTTTTCATCAAACCAAATTTTCTCTTTGTGAAGGTTACCTGTTGTATCAATGGAATATTTTATTTTTTAGCGCTTATTTTAAATCAAAAGATACCTTTAACATAATCAAATACTGAATTTGCTTACTATATTTATTACATCAGAATCGCAAAATATCGCTTCGTCAACGATTTTTAATAGCATATAACTTGTTATATAATTATTCGTTCATCTTTCCAGTCAATTATGTTTCATTGGTCTTTGTCGGTTAAGTCGGAAAACCGTGCTGCTTGTTCGATGTATGTGCCCTAACTCTATCCAAATATTTATCTACTACACCAAATCATAAAATAAAACTTTATTTTTCACTCAAACTTAAAATTATATTTGCTCAACTTCATATTATTACATTTCATTATGATAAGAGATACGCTAATTTAACATTTTCCTGAATAATGAAATCATTTCAAAAATTGAAATAATGTTCCTACTCATTATTTTATGGCCTCCCGTCAACACTTGTTTTAACTTAAAAAAACATGGTTTTACTACTTAAATTGATAATTTTTATAACTTTCATATATTTTTTAAATGCTCCAGTTTGGACACATTATATAATTTATTTTATCTTTCAATTTAGCTTACACTGAATTAATTTCATGTCTTTATTTAGCGCATTCGTATTTTGTTTATTAATATTGAAGTTTGTGTACAATATTAGCTGTAAAATTAGATTATTTAGTTAAATAATAAGCAATAAGAAGCCAACTATAATTAATCTGCAAGATAAAAGAACAATTTCAGAATTCAAAAAATTAATCTAAACCGACATACAAAACATTCTCAGGTTTGTTAAAAAGTAATCTTTTTAAATGTTATTTAACTTGAACAAACGTCTGCAACATTTTCAACGAACCTGTCGATTTCGCTCATCTTCAATTCTTGAGATTTGAATTTTTTTCCTTCCCATCTCAGTGCAAAACATCAATTAGTTTTTATTTAAAACAATGCAAAGGTGATGACCAGAAATTCAAACTTTACATCAGATTCATAAACTCAACTCAAATAAACTTTTAGTTAAATTAATGACGATGTTTAAAAATTTCCTATTTATATATCTCAAGCATATCCAATGTATAATGTACAGCTTAAACTTTGTTATAGATTCATTAGATATATTCAGCCAATAACATTATTTTAAAACTGACGTCCGAAATCTGATTGGCTGAAAATCTTCTGTGTGACAATACCTGCGTAAAGAAGAGGCCTTTCATTGGTCAGTTGCATCGCTTTGTAAAATTCTATTAAAAGTTTGATGGCAACTTGATTTTTTTAAATGTGCTCGAATCTGAAAATAACCAACCTCTCATGCAACGTTGATCATTGTTAATTTTTGTTTTATGTGATTTGTAAGTATACACACATTTAATTTAATTTAATAGAATACAAGATAAACAAGAAATCTGAAACAGCAAAAAATCGGACATGACGTGTGTTGTTGGTTCGTGGCAAACAAAATTGTTTCACTCGTTCGGATATTCAAGCAAATTTAATCGGCTGTGTTTCTTTGACTGGAGCGTTATGCAAATTTTGGTTTTAATAAAAATATTCCAGTAGAGAAAACTCGACAAATTGGCGGTAGATTAAAGTGATATATCTTTGTTTGATGCAATCGTTCTATTCAGATTTTCGCGCAATGATGATATGCATATTTATTTCAAAAATATTTCAAACCCGCAATTAAAATTGATTTTGTTTTATTTAAAAAAATCAACGAAAAACAATAATTTTAACATTCTCGATCTGTCTTATTTACGTGTTGAAGCAAAAAATGCCGGGACATAAACATCGTTAGCACACGTACAACTCGTAGATGACATCTATGGTCAGTAGTAACAGCATGGAATCGCCAGATGTCCAGCAGACTGTGACGCCTAATCATTTGGTTAATAGTTATGATGCTCAAGAAATCCGAAAGAGTTCGTGTCGACACCTTTGATGCAATCACTTGAAAATATTTTAAGTTTTCAAACTAAAAATCAAAAAAACAAAAATTGAATTGCACTGGGAATATTTTACAATATTTATATAGAGAATGTTTCGAAGAGCACTTGCCGTTCTAGCTTATAATGTTCATTGAAAATATTATGACAACCCAAAATATTTTCAAAATCATTTCGATTAGTTGTTGAAAGTAATTACTTGATTTTACAAAGTATGAAATCCTTTAACTCTACATAATTTAATTATCTTCTTATAAGAAACGATCACAAAATATATAGCCATTTACAATTTATATTTTAAATATTGAATTCTTACAAATCTTTGTTAGGTTTTAAAATAATTAATAAGCTAGCGATTTTAAAAATGATTTTCTTGTAGTTCTATATAAATAGTAAATAATACTAGATATTATTTGTGAAATAAAATAAAAATAATTTAATAAATTTTTATTCGTTTGGTTATATTTAACTTCATTTACGTTTTGTAGATTAATTGTATTTATTTTATATATAAAAAATTTTTGTATTTATTTTCCGATCCATAAAGATTACGTTTTTTCGAGTTACTTAATTTTTCAATTATCATAATCATAATATTTTTTATTTTATATTTCATGTTTACCTTTTAATATTTGATTAAAATGTTTTTGGTTCGTTTGTTTTTATATTTTGTTTATTTTTATTTACAAATACTAAATAAAAACGCATTGGCGTACAGCGTACACACACACACACACACACACACACACGCACACACGCACACACACATATATAGCGAGAGAGAAAGAGAGAGAGAGAGAGAGAGAGAGAGAGAGAGAGAGAGAGAGAGAGAGAGAGAGAGAGAGAGAGAGAGAGAAAGCCAAACGGTAATAACCAGCAAACAAATGATGGTCGTTTGCTTATCAGCAGAATTGCAGAAGATAAGTTAGTGTGGCTCAATGATGCGAGGTGACGATGACAAGGATTTATTGATCACGTGTGCCTGATCTGTTACGTTTCGTGCTGACAAGTTCATCCGCATTTAGCACAAATATCAGTTACGATGTGAGCCCGGCGAACATCACGCACTCCATTCTTTACAGCCTGATTTTAATAAGTCAAATACTCAACGCAATCAAATGACGCCATATTTCAAATTTTTTTACAGGAGCATCTTTTTTTCAAGAGCAACATCAACAACTGCCAACGGTGTTTTGATGAAATAAAAAAAAATTAGGCCGACAGCAGAGGATGTGCGATCGTTGCATGTGCACAAAAATAGAAATCTACATAATGCCTCCTGGGCGGATGGGTCGAGAGATTTGAAGCCATTGAAAATTCAACATTTTCATTTTACAACTTCAAGCAAAATAAAGGAATAAACAAAATGATATAACTTAAAAAATTCATTTTAAATATGTTTCATTTTTTCAAAATGTTAGGCAAGACTTAGTTGAGTAAATTTTACAATTTCTCAATAGTATTAATTAATTTAAAAGGTTTTATAAATTTATTGATTCTATGATTCTAACAAAATTTATAATGAACTACAAATAGATAAAAAATATTTTTACAAAAAAGCAAATGAATTATTTGGCAAAATGTATCTAATTATTGCTATCAACTGGTTTATTCTACTGAAACAGCGTTAGAGTTCTAATTTCAAGTGTCTTTCGTGTTTGGATGTTATAGACGCCAAATAAAATATATATATACAATATAAATAACTTAATTTTTTGCATAACTTCGCTAGGCACGATAGAGTTTTTCTTAGTTTCCTGTGAAGTTGATTATTACATTTTGCACGATATTGGAGTAAATTATTTCAGGCAACGATTTGTTTAAAATTTGTTGAAAACTTTGATAAGAAGTGAATGGCAAGCAAATGCATTCCATTTACCTATCAACTATTCACTGAGAGATTGAAATACTCCGTCACGTTTATTACTTGATTAATTAATTTATTTTATTTAAAAAACTAGGAGACCAGAAATTATTACTAACTTGCACGGTCTCCGTATGTATACAAAAAAACATAAATATACAAAATGTATATACATTCATCTACAAACATACATCTACATACATACGTTCTGACTGTAACTGAGGCTAAAAAAAATGAAAGATGTTTAATTGAAGGTATTTGAACGGTGTTACATTTTAGGGCGAATCAATGCTTATTTGAGACTGTGTAACATAACTTTAGTGAAGAAACAATATAAAATGCTTATTCTTTTTTAACTTTCAGGGACAGAAAGATTTTCTACATTTACGATATAAATTAATGAAATTGTTATAAAAATTTAATTTTTAGCTATATGATTTCAACCTTTTATAATAAAGTTATCCGTTAGTGAAAACTGTTTTCAAAGTAATAATAAAACGGAGCCATGTTTAGGCAAAGCCAATTTAGTGGCCCCAAATAAAATATAAAATAAAAACACCAACCAATAACACACATCTTGATATATTTAACGTTAATTAATATATATTAATTAATTAATATAATTTAACATTATATATATGCTGGTAAAAGACCATAATGCAGTAATTTATGAAATCTACCAAATTTCTCGCATTTGATATTTATTTTTATTACATTTCTCAATATTTCTAACCAAATTCTTGTTGTCCTTATTTATTTTATTAAAGTTAGAATAATATGCTTTTTTACAATTTATTCTCGAGTGTATAGGACTTATTTCGATTTTTCAATCATCTTCAGCGCTTGTTGCAGTTGCAACAAATAAATATGCTATTTATTTTATGTATGTATATTTTGTATATGTATATATATTTACATCGTTTTTTTATTTACTAATGGAGTTCGTACAAGTTATATATATATATATATTTGATACATTTTTTTCTTGCTTCATTGAATTCAATGGTTGAGAATGGATTAAAGCTGAATAAAAGCAACACACAGCTTTTGCCTGTCGGTACGTGGCAGCAGTTACAAAAAATTCGCATTTATTCTATCATTATTTTCGGAACTGTTGTTAATTTCTGTACGTCTGTTAAAAGTTTGGGTATCATATTTGATCAAACTGTGACAATGGGTCAGAACATCAGGGGAGTTACTAAGGAATGTTGTTTTCAGGTTCGAAAACTTAGACAAACAAAAAAATCTCTCTACAAAGAAACACTGAAATGCTTGGTTCACTTATTTGTCAATTCAAAATTTAATTACTGCAACAGTATTTTTATGGAGTTTCCAGTAGAGTGATTGATCGATAGCAGTCATGGTTAAAAACCGAGTGGCAAAAAACATTTATGGAGGATTGAAGTTCAATCACGCAAGCCATACCTTATCTGACCTTCATTGGCTGACAATCAGAAAAAAATATTGTTTAAGATCGCCATTCTGGTGTTTAAATGGCTAAAAGCCTGGCTGGGTCTATACTATCTGTCTAGAAATATGTCATATAAAACATTAAAAGCTCATTGTATTCTTACACGTTCAGGTGACACAATTTTCTGTCGTTGTCGGAGACACGGTCGGTGGTGGCCAGTCGTGGTTTTGCAGTCGCAGGCCCAACCGTTTGAAACAGTGTGCTAGACAATGTGCGTCAACCAGGATTGATTGATCAAAATTTGGCAAAGAACTAAAAAATGATCACCAAAAAATGCCAGATATACTCAACTCTCATTTTAGTTCAGTATTTACAAAGGAGATTCTTACATCTTTGCCAAAACCAGTCAGTAACTTTAATACAATGGAAATGATTGTCTTAGATGTTGTGATAATTACGGAACAATAATTAGTCGATGAACTGCAAAGACTAAAAGAAGACAAAAGTCCTGGAAACGACGGCCTGAATTTAGCACTTTTGAAAAAGGTAAGATAAAACATTGCGGAAGCACTGTTGGTTCTTTTCAACAAAGCGACGGGTGAAATACCATCAGATTGGAAAGATATGCCACTCTTTAAGAAAGGAATTTGTTACGACCCAGGAAATTATGGACCAATTAGTCTTACAAGCACCACTGTATGAAAGATACTGGGAAGAATAATTAAGAGGATAATTGTGAGCCACTTGGCAAAAAATAATATCATATACAAGAGCCAACATGGATTTATGGATAGGCGTTTTTGTCTAACTAATTTGCTTAAATTTTTAAAAGGTCTATAAAAATATAGACAAAAAAAAACAGTAGATATCATTTACTTAAATTTTGTTAAGGCTTTCGATAAGGTACAGCAAAAACGTTAGGCCTTAAAATTAGAGGCAAGTGGAATCACAGGAGAAACACTTAAGTGGATTTCTAATTGGTGCAGGATAAATGGAAAAAAGCTGGTATTAGTGATAAATTTTCAAGCCGGAGCAATGTTAAAAGTGGGGGTTCTCAAGGATCTGTATTAGTACCTCTGTTATTTGTAATTTACATAAACGATATTAATCTAAAAATAAAGTCCAAAATTTTGAAATTTGCAGATTACACTAAATTAAGTGCTGTTGTTGACAACGATGAAGACATCGAAATTCTAGTATGCGATTTGCAAAAACTATGCAAATTGGCCGAGGAGTAGTAGTATTGGTAGATGGTATTCAACACCGACAAAAGTGCACTTGAGCAGTCATACATATGGGAGCTAACAAAATAATGAAAATGTATTCAAACTTGGAAACGCGCCACTAAAATCTTTTAAGATGAGGTGATAATTCAGTGAAGTGGTAAGGTAGCACGGCAATGCATAGAGTCAGCTAAAAGTGAAAACACGGTTTTGGGTATGATAAAATGACCCGTAAAAAGCAGACATATGATCGTCATATTAAATCTGTATAAGGCACTGGTTCGACCTTAGTTGGAGTACTGTGTTCAGCTTTGGAATCCAGATTTGCAAAAAGACAAATATATGCTTGAGAAAATTCAAAGGAGGGCAACGAGAATGATCAACGAGTGCCGCAATATGTCATATAAAGACAGATTGAAAGTTTATGGTTTGAAAACATTAGAAAAAAGAGAGTATTTGATTCAGACATATAAATTCATTACTATGAAAAAGAATTTGAAATTAGTACAAATTTTTGAGCTGAAAATAAACAGTAAAACAAGAAGGCATAAATATATATGTGTGTGTATCTGTGTATTAATTTTATTACTTAAACAATTTATGCTTTTATTTATTTAACTAATTTTGGGGATTTTGGCTTATGGGTTGTACACCTGCTCTTATTAAATTTTTTTCTGTTATGTTATGTTATAACATATTTAAAAAAAGGTCTAGACCGATAAAGCAAACATTTTTCAGCTGCAGAGTTGTCAATGAATGGAAGAAACTGGGAGATGAAACAATATGCGCTAAAACAACAAATAACTGTAAACCAAAGTTGGCAAAAATGGGATATTAAAAATCTCAGAGTGGTCCTGTTACAGACAGGGGCGGATCCAGGTCATCTAGTAAGGGGGGGCGATTTTTATCCATCATGGCAACCCACAACTGCCTGCAAGGCGGGCAAGCCCACAAATAAAAAAACGTTTAAATTATTATTCAATTTGCCCTTTAAATAGCACGCACTACCGTAGCACGCACTACCGTATCATGTCAGTAAACTTAAATTTACTCTGTTCTATTAAAAAGAGTGATGTAGTAATCATATTATTTACTACGGATCCCATTATTGTAGTGTTAAGTAATCCTTTAAAATATGCACTTTTTAATTTTTAATTTTATATCACTATTCACTTTTAAACAGTCTAACTTTCGTTTTCAAGCGCCATGATTGTGTATTGTGTTGTGTTACTTAAAAACGACAAAAATAGTAAATACAAGTTACTTTTAAATTAAAACATTCATTAATTATTGTTTATAATACTATAAAATATTAGGAACAATTACAACAAACCATTATCATCGGAAGAAAATGAAGAGAACAAATTTTTTACAACCACAGAGTACTTTGGATTCATTTTTTGTGACGTTGAAGAGAAAAAAGTCTGTTGAAGCATCTACAACTAATTTTACTGTCACTACTGAAGTTGGTGGAACAACTAAACTTCCACTTCCAACCACATCAGCAGAAGCGTCAACAAGTAATAGTATTTCTACTGAACATGTTGAACATGAGATAACAGAAACAAGTAATAATATGGACAGCAACAGCCGGAATATGAATGTCAATTCAGTAGTCATAGCTCATGATAGTCTTTTTTCTGAAAATGAACAGATTTCAACTGAGACTGGAACAGCTGAAATTGCTAAGGCATTTTCTAGTAAGATTTTAAATGCTGAGTTTATCAATGATATTGGAAAATTTGTTGGAACATTTATGGATGATTTGACAAAAAAAAGTCTGTTAGAATCGCCATGGAAGAGCCACCAGCTGACTACAAAATGCCACATTCACTTCACAAGAAGAAAAATAAACAAGAAAAGCGATATCTTAATCATTCTCATCTGGAAAAATATGAATGGCTAGTTTATTCAGATAATAAAAAAGGACCGTACTGCAAATATTGCTCATTATTTTCATACCACCTGATTGCAGGATCTCACAAACAAATGGAACTTTAGAAGCTTGTTAAACAACCATTACAAGTGTTTGCTAAACTGTTTGGCAAAGATGGAGATTTAACAATGCATGACAAAGCAACATACCACAAGGAAGCTGTTGAAGCATGGAGGTGTTTTTTAAAAAACTATAATGAACCAGCAATAAATATTATAAACAGAGTAAATGCTCAACGGCTTCAGCAGGTTTTAGAGAATCGTCAGAGATTGATATCTATTGTGGAAACAATTATATTTTTAGGAAGGCAGAATATTCCATTCAGAGGACACAGAGATGATGGCAGTATATTAGACAAAGATGATGAAGATTCTGATGTGATTAAAAATGAAGGTAATTTCCGAGAATTGCTAAAATTTAGAGTAAGCAAATTTAGAAAATCATTTAAAAACGGCTAGAGCATCAGCAACCTATATTAGCAAAACCACACAAAATGCGTTAATTAAATGCTGTGGGGAGGAAATATGTGAACAAATTTTGAGTCGCGTTAGAGAATCAAAGTATTATGCTATTATGATTGACGAGACAACCGATGCATCACATAAGTCGCAAATGACTATAATATTACGTTACTTGCTGCCTGATGGATCAGTTCGAGAAGATTTTGCAGGATTTGTTGATCTACATGACAACAATTACCAATCTGATATTACTGCATCAATTGACACTGAACCTACTTTTGACGGCAAAATTATTGGTCAATCGGTTATAAACATGTTTTCAAACAAGTTCCACCTTTCTCTAGAAAACTGTGTTGGTGTGGGAACAGATGGTTGCAGTGTTATGTCTTCGTTACAAAAAGGAGCAGTAGTTGAAATTCAAAAAGTTGCAGTGAATGCAGTCTGGTGTCCTTGTTATAACCATGCTTTAAATTTAACTTTATCAAAAAGTTCGAATGTACAAGCAATAAGAAATTGCTTATTAGTGAAGTAGTTGCTTTTTTCAATGCTTCTGCAAAACGAAATTTTATAATAAAGAACATGATAAATTCACAACTGGTTTCACTCTGCGAAACACGATGGGCTGAGAGACATGATGCATTGCTGATGTTTAGTATTGAACTTCCACAAATAATTGATGCGCTAAAGAATATATCTAAATGGAATGACAGAACAACTTCATCAAAAGCAACAACTTTATTAACAGCAATTAGAGAAAGTGATTTTATTGTGTCCTTAGGCTGTGCTGTGCATGTATTCTCTCTAACAAAGGGCCTCAGTGAATTGTTTCAAAAAAAATGTTTAAATTTACATGATGCAGAAAATTGCATTAAAGACCTGTTAAATGTTTTACAAAAAAAGAGAGAAAACTGCGAAGAAATGTTTTTGAAAATTTTTAGAGCAGCGGAAAAAATAACAATTGAAAAAGATGGCACTTTTACCTACAAAAGATTTGTGCATCGACAGACATGCCGTGAAAATGTACCTTCTGATTCATTGGAAGAATATTACAGGCGATCAGTTTACATCCCTCTTCTTGATGCACTGATATTGGATATAAATACTCGTTTTTCTAAAGAAAATTTGCAGTGTCTCCAAATCTATTCTTTGATGCCAGAAAATATTATTAAACTAAATCATAAAGATGTTGTCGAATCTGTTTCAGCAATCAGTAATTTCTATGGTACCATTCTTGGACTTAGTACCCAACTTGAATTTATATCGGAAGTTGAATTGTTGCAGAGCAAATGCTTTAGAATGAACAAGGAAGGAGGAGGAGTCAAATCACTGACTACTGATCTTTCTGTTGTTTTTCATTTGTGTGACCCCGTACAATATCCAATCACTCAGAAGTTGTTCCGTATTATTAAAGCATGTCTAGTTAGTGTTGCCAGTGCTGAACGTAGCTTCTCAACTCTGCGAAGAATTAAAACATGGCTAAGAACACGAATGACAGAAGACAGATTAGTCGGATTGGCACTACTTAATGTACACAGAGACGTTTTAGTAAATGTTGAAAATATAATTGAGAGTTTTGCGAAGTCAGGAAATCGTAAAATAGAATTTGTTTTATAAATTGTTATTAGTCAACCTATCAAGGTAGTAGGTACCTCGCTAGTCTAATAAAATAAATAAACCCATTTTTAAAACACTTATAGGATTAAAAAAAGGAAAATAATTTTTTTATATTTATGTATGTACTCATATGTATATATTGACTATGTTTGATCCAAATCATTACATTTATTATTTTATGACATTAAAAGTTGAAAGTTTTTGATGACATTGCATGCTTTCTTATAAACAGTAATAAAGAGTTGACAAAAATAAACTAGAAATTTTTTTTTCAGTAGGGGGGGGCGATTTTTTATCAAAATTCCGCCACTGGTTACAGACCCAGCCTTCTTGGAGCACTATAAAAATCTTTATTACGCTATGTTTATTATGTTTTTCTTCATGCATCTATTCCACTAAGCCCAAGAAGCGCTTTTGAGTAATATTAAAGGGCTCTATATAAATTCTCTAATAATAATAATAATATGTGCGTGTGTAAGGCTTAAATTACATTAGGCATCGATGTTAAGATCCAAGCTGTTCACTGATTCACCAACTTTGTTGTACCGAATGTATGGTTAGGTTGAAAAACTCAGCTCGTGTTATGTTACATTGCCAACGTTATAGAGAATCTTCCTTTTTATATTCTCTGGTCTTTCAATTTCCTTCATAATTGTAGTTCTTTTTTGTTTAGCAACACAAAAAAGTTAATTTAGTGGAGATTTTTATCATAATGTCATTTCGAGAGAAAATATGTTCCAATCATGAACATATTGAATGACTAACAATAGAAATTATTTTTCCTTAACCACCTACCTAATATATTTATTGTAAGCTACAGACCTTAGAACATAAAACTCATCCTAACGTTTTGGCTGTTGGCATTTCGAAATGTTTCAGTTAGATCTTTTAGGCGCGTGATAGCATACTGGTTAAGGTTTCTTGTGCTCATTTGCAATTGCGTGCTGTGACAGGGTTTGATTATGACCATAAGGTCCCCGCCTATCACATGCTTCATGTCTGTTGCGTAGTTTAGCAAGTATTTATATACGATGTTTGTGATGTTAGAAAGAGTGTAATATAACTTTAATAACCATTAACTTTTTTGTAGTTTTTATCGACAAACTTTAGTAAATGTGAAAAATCTATTTCTATTATGTTATTATATTTTAGTTTTGGATTTATTAATGACTCAACTTCATCAAACTTTGTGTCACTTTTGATATTTCATAACTTATTTTATCTTCACCCCAAATTGTTTTCTGTCATCCATTTTGCAATAATGTTTACGATGTTCACACACTTCCTTTAATTAACGCCCCTAATTCTGCTGCTCGTTCAGAAGCTGAAAACTGGCCCGAAAGTATGGGAGAGAGCAAAGGGAGTAAACGACCAGGTCGGCAAATTTCAGGGGGCGGCAAATTTTGAAAAGTTTTAAAAAATTATAAAAGTTATTTACAAAACTTGGATTAAAATAAATTTGATATTTTTCGCTTTACTCAATTTTGCATGTTTGTCATATATGGTCACCGAGTTAGCTCATTCAGTAGAAGTGCCATGTCTCGCGCTGCTATTACGCAATGGCATGGTTTGAATACAGTCTATCCGAAACTCAAACCATCATACCCGTATGATGCGATGCTTTCGCGTGCATACATAATGTGTGTGTGCGTCGTGTGGATAGTGTACAGCCTTTGTGGCACGAAAGTTTAATTATAGGTATAGAATAACATGTGAGCAGCTCTGCGTTTAACAGAGTTGCATTATGAAGAATAAAAAAATATGTTTGTCGCTTGATATTGATATATATATTGATAAACATTTTTGCATGTATATCAACATCATAAACAAAACATTTTAACAGCAAGTTTGTGAAGTATAATTGGAAGTATAATTTAAACAATTACATTTAAACAATAAGTTACGACATGACAGGAGTGGGCAAACTACAGCCCGCGAAGCTATTTTATGCGGCCCGCGAGGCCTTGTTCGTCAAAAAAAGGTCGTTAATCAGACATTATGATCAAAAAAAGAGCTACAAATCTTAAAAAAATTCTCCTCCGGGCGAAAAATCTTGATATTTAAGTACATACGGGGCTCTTCAAAGGTAAAATAGTTCTCAATGCGGCCCTCATAGCAAAAAGTTTGCCCACCCCTGGCTTACGGCATATAATAATTGTTTGGTGAGAGATGGGTAGGGAGCAGCAAACTAATCTTTGCTACCCCACTGACAAATCTCCTAGTTTCGGCCTTGGCTGAGCTGATTGACTGTATAATGTGAAATAATGATATTTCAAATAAATATGCTGATGGGCACAAGATGTCACAACTAAAGCTGTACAATTGTCTTAGCGTTTATAATTTTTCAATTCCCATCAAAAATTCATAAACTGTATTTTAGGAAAAGACTGAATTTAAACATCAAAAAATGGAGGTATGAAATTTATCTGAGTAATATGAGATTTATTTGAATAATATAGGCATAATTTAAATAAGAAAAAAAATAATGATTTGTATTATTATAATACAATATAATACTATTTAATATTTAAGCATATAAATTATCACAAAAAATTATAATTACTAAATAAAAACACAACAAACTTTATCAATAACAAAAAATAATGAAAGTCGGTAGTAAACAAATAGTAAACAAATTAAAAACGTTTCATTAAGACTGATTGAGAATTTATTCCAGGATGACTTCGCTCTCACCGTGTACTTCATTTAACAGAGATGTTTGGAGAGCTTCGCACACGACATCAGGCAAATGTTCCAGTAACATACTCCGGTTAACAAGAATTTCATCAAAAAACTCCTTTTCCGCCCAAAATGCTTTATAAATTTGAGTTTTCTTGCAACATTTTCTGGTTTTTAATAAAATATTGTGTTGGTGAATTCAAATATATTCAGTGGTTCATAGCAGTAATTTTGTGAAAATTTCATTTCACATGGTTGTTGTCAATTAATGGTTGTCAAGTCGATACGTTTTGATATTTCCAAAATATTAATAAAAATGCATTCCATCTAAAGATTATTATGATGATTAAATTTAAATTGATACGTTTGTAAAAAAAATTATCTTGAAAATAAATTTGGAAACAATTTAAAAAAATTTTTTTCATTATTTCCCTACCTGTCAAAACATAGCACACATTGTAACATAATATATACTACGACATAACAAACATTCATTACAATTTTCAAAGTTACACGATAAAAAAAAGAAACAAAACAAAAAAAAACAAACTGAATAAAATTAAGAACCAACTTGATTGCATAATCCTTTTCAAGATATAATATCTTGCCGGGAATAAACAATGGATACGGATTCTCAAAATTCAGTAAATCTTCCTAAATAATACATTTTAAAATGTTATCAACTGTATTAATCTAAAAAATCCGAAACGGATCGAACGAAATGCAAATCATAAATAGATGAATAAATTAATAATTTAAACAAAAAAAGCCATAAAAAGGTAGAGTTTAAAAGATTCGTTTGAAATTTAGATAATTCGGTAATATTTCAACCATTGCACTTAAACCAGTAAATTCTCAGGCTTCATCAACTTAAGCAACAACATTTTCATGTTTCAGTGATTTAAACACAATGGCTGCCGGTCTGTTAATCAAAACCCTAAATTAAAACAGCAGCATTTCATCGATATTCAACATTTATTTGGACTCCATTTGGAGTTCATCTAGTTTTAAATTGTTAATTAGTGTTTCAAAACTTTTGAAAAGTTAAACGTCGAAACTGAATATTCTTCGCAACAGCAAAAAAGTTGCTGTTGTTTTTACTTTCTATTCCCATTTCTTGACTTATTGGTAAAACTGGCTGATGTTTTCTAAAACCATCCGACGTTAACATTTTTTAGCATTTTAATAAATTTTAAATTTTTATAAAATCGTTCATCTTTTCGCTTTAGTTTATTTGTTAAAAAAATAAGTATATATATTAATCTAATTAATTGGGGATCATATTGTATATAGCTTGTAAAGGAAATGTAATGTTATAACACAATGATCTTTTAATTATCCCATAATACGAAGTTGTCAATAATTAAGCATACAAACGTGATCATGAGACATTACTTCAGTAGACGTCTGATTGTTATCAAGGATTGTGACTTCGCTTGACTGATCGACTATTTCTGAACGGCCTCGCGTTTTTGTGCATCTACAAAATTTGAGCACACTTCCTCCTAAAATTCTGTACTGTTTTGATATGCAAACTAATTAATAATAAGTTTCCAACCACATAAATTTTTGAATATAAAATTATGATCTTTTGGGATTACAATAATAGCAGGTCATGTTAATATAAATGGCTGGGTTCAATCTGAAAGGCTGTTTATAGATAGAAACCGCGAAGTGCAAGATAAAAGAGCTGAGTGATGCAAATAACAGAGACATCGAACAACAAACATCTTCGATCCAATTTTTAAGATCAGAACCAAACGATTTCATAGGAAGCTTTTGACCTCAATATATTTTTGTACCTACAAAATCCTGAAATTTTTTACAAAAACACGACTCTCATCATACTATTCTCGTGAATTATTTTTAACATCGAGATTTATTTTTGTTAAAAACGACCTTAAACACGCAGTTAAAAAATACAAATAAATTTGTTCTTGAGAACTTAGATGATACGACTTATAATTTTTTGAACCTCGATTTAATTTTCAATTCACATTGCCTAACGAACTAGCTTCGTAGTAGTGAATGACAACATGGTTATTGAAATCATTTTAACAGTAATAAAATGAAAATTATTCCAATATTTCAAACCAAACGGTAAATTAATTCAATGAAGATAAATCAACATCGACTAACAATATATAACTAAGAAATTTGGTACGTAATAGCGATGATAAGACTGAGAAACTTGAAAGACTGATGATATCGAAAAAATAGCTAAGGTGTTGAAACAATCTACGAAACGATCTCACACAAAAAGCAAATTGCTACAAAATGAAATGATAAGCGGTGGTCACCCGACGAAATAGTGTGACAACTCTAAATTGCATCCGGCATACTGTTGAAGACAACGACAAAGTGGGTGGAAGATATCATGGACATTGGGCGAGAGCTTCAAAAGATAAAAATGTTGAATACTAACATACGAATGGGAGGTTTCTTTGAAAAGTACTCATGAAATGTGGTGTGATGTGATGCGACGGAAATAGACCTGTTGGCTTATGAAGAATAAAAAAATATGTTTGTCGCTTGATATTGATATATATATTGATAAACATTTTTGCATGTATATCAACATCATAAACAAAACATTTTAACAGCAAGTTTGTGAAGTATAATTGGAAGTATAATTTAAACAATTACATTTAAACAATAAGTTACGACATGACAGGAGTGGGCAAACTACAGCCCGCGAAGCTATTTTATGCGGCCCGCGAGGCCTTGTTCGTCAAAAAAAGGTCGTTAATCAGACATTATGATCAAAAAAAGAGCTACAAATCTTAAAAAAATTCTCCTCCGGGCGAAAAATCTTGATATTTAAGTACATACGGGGCTCTTCAAAGGTAAAATAGTTCTCAATGCGGCCCTCATAGCAAAAAGTTTGCCCACCCCTGGCTTACGGCATATAATAATTGTTTGGTGAGAGATGGGTAGGGAGCAGCAAACTAATCTTTGCTACCCCACTGACAAATCTCCTAGTTTCGGCCTTGGCTGAGCTGATTGACTGTATAATGTGAAATAATGATATTTCAAATAAATATGCTGATGGGCACAAGATGTCACAACTAAAGCTGTACAATTGTCTTAGCGTTTATAATTTTTCAATTCCCATCAAAAATTCATAAACTGTATTTTAGGAAAAGACTGAATTTAAACATCAAAAAATGGAGGTATGAAATTTATCTGAGTAATATGAGATTTATTTGAATAATATAGGCATAATTTAAATAAGAAAAAAAATAATGATTTGTATTATTATAATACAATATAATACTATTTAATATTTAAGCATATAAATTATCACAAAAAATTATAATTACTAAATAAAAACACAACAAACTTTATCAATAACAAAAAATAATGAAAGTCGGTAGTAAACAAATAGTAAACAAATTAAAAACGTTTCATTAAGACTGATTGAGAATTTATTCCAGGATGACTTCGCTCTCACCGTGTACTTCATTTAACAGAGATGTTTGGAGAGCTTCGCACACGACATCAGGCAAATGTTCCAGTAACATACTCCGGTTAACAAGAATTTCATCAAAAAACTCCTTTTCCGCCCAAAATGCTTTATAAATTTGAGTTTTCTTGCAACATTTTCTGGTTTTTAATAAAATATTGTGTTGGTGAATTCAAATATATTCAGTGGTTCATAGCAGTAATTTTGTGAAAATTTCATTTCACATGGTTGTTGTCAATTAATGGTTGTCAAGTCGATACGTTTTGATATTTCCAAAATATTAATAAAAATGCATTCCATCTAAAGATTATTATGATGATTAAATTTAAATTGATACGTTTGTAAAAAAAATTATCTTGAAAATAAATTTGGAAACAATTTAAAAAAATTTTTTTCATTATTTCCCTACCTGTCAAAACATAGCACACATTGTAACATAATATATACTACGACATAACAAACATTCATTACAATTTTCAAAGTTACACGATAAAAAAAAGAAACAAAACAAAAAAAAACAAACTGAATAAAATTAAGAACCAACTTGATTGCATAATCCTTTTCAAGATATAATATCTTGCCGGGAATAAACAATGGATACGGATTCTCAAAATTCAGTAAATCTTCCTAAATAATACATTTTAAAATGTTATCAACTGTATTAATCTAAAAAATCCGAAACGGATCGAACGAAATGCAAATCATAAATAGATGAATAAATTAATAATTTAAACAAAAAAAGCCATAAAAAGGTAGAGTTTAAAAGATTCGTTTGAAATTTAGATAATTCGGTAATATTTCAACCATTGCACTTAAACCAGTAAATTCTCAGGCTTCATCAACTTAAGCAACAACATTTTCATGTTTCAGTGATTTAAACACAATGGCTGCCGGTCTGTTAATCAAAACCCTAAATTAAAACAGCAGCATTTCATCGATATTCAACATTTATTTGGACTCCATTTGGAGTTCATCTAGTTTTAAATTGTTAATTAGTGTTTCAAAACTTTTGAAAAGTTAAACGTCGAAACTGAATATTCTTCGCAACAGCAAAAAAGTTGCTGTTGTTTTTACTTTCTATTCCCATTTCTTGACTTATTGGTAAAACTGGCTGATGTTTTCTAAAACCATCCGACGTTAACATTTTTTAGCATTTTAATAAATTTTAAATTTTTATAAAATCGTTCATCTTTTCGCTTTAGTTTATTTGTTAAAAAAATAAGTATATATATTAATCTAATTAATTGGGGATCATATTGTATATAGCTTGTAAAGGAAATGTAATGTTATAACACAATGATCTTTTAATTATCCCATAATACGAAGTTGTCAATAATTAAGCATACAAACGTGATCATGAGACATTACTTCAGTAGACGTCTGATTGTTATCAAGGATTGTGACTTCGCTTGACTGATCGACTATTTCTGAACGGCCTCGCGTTTTTGTGCATCTACAAAATTTGAGCACACTTCCTCCTAAAATTCTGTACTGTTTTGATATGCAAACTAATTAATAATAAGTTTCCAACCACATAAATTTTTGAATATAAAATTATGATCTTTTGGGATTACAATAATAGCAGGTCATGTTAATATAAATGGCTGGGTTCAATCTGAAAGGCTGTTTATAGATAGAAACCGCGAAGTGCAAGATAAAAGAGCTGAGTGATGCAAATAACAGAGACATCGAACAACAAACATCTTCGATCCAATTTTTAAGATCAGAACCAAACGATTTCATAGGAAGCTTTTGACCTCAATATATTTTTGTACCTACAAAATCCTGAAATTTTTTACAAAAACACGACTCTCATCATACTATTCTCGTGAATTATTTTTAACATCGAGATTTATTTTTGTTAAAAACGACCTTAAACACGCAGTTAAAAAATACAAATAAATTTGTTCTTGAGAACTTAGATGATACGACTTATAATTTTTTGAACCTCGATTTAATTTTCAATTCACATTGCCTAACGAACTAGCTTCGTAGTAGTGAATGACAACATGGTTATTGAAATCATTTTAACAGTAATAAAATGAAAATTATTCCAATATTTCAAACCAAACGGTAAATTAATTCAATGAAGATAAATCAACATCGACTAACAATATATAACTAAGAAATTTGGTACGTAATAGCGATGATAAGACTGAGAAACTTGAAAGACTGATGATATCGAAAAAATAGCTAAGGTGTTGAAACAATCTACGAAACGATCTCACACAAAAAGCAAATTGCTACAAAATGAAATGATAAGCGGTGGTCACCCGACGAAATAGTGTGACAACTCTAAATTGCATCCGGCATACTGTTGAAGACAACGACAAAGTGGGTGGAAGATATCATGGACATTGGGCGAGAGCTTCAAAAGATAAAAATGTTGAATACTAACATACGAATGGGAGGTTTCTTTGAAAAGTACTCATGAAATGTGGTGTGATGTGATGCGACGGAAATAGACCTGTTGGCTAGGCAAACAGAAAAAACAAAATTTGAACTTACTGGCTGTTAAATAAAAGAAAGAACGGTCAACCTTTAACTAAACCATCGACAAATAAACTTCACAGAAAAAATGAAATGCTGAAAACACAGAAAAATTGACAGTTTCCCCTTTCCAAATTGCGGCATCTCAAGTTTAAAAACCACTTGTGCTAAACTTTTACACTTTCGAATTAAGAAAATATGCAAAAGTTTTTTATAAATCTAATTTTTATTGAATATTGATAGTACAAAAATTTTAATGATTATAATCAAGCTGAATGTGATCTAATTAATAATTTATAATAATTAGCGCAATGAAACAATCATACCTTTGGCTGAAAAGAATTTGCAATTAAATATCTAAGTCGGTTTTTCAAATCATTCATCGAGTACAGTCCCAACCTTGGAATAATGTCTTTCCCAATTACAACTGAGAGCACAAATTCTTGCATGTATTGAGACAAAGCAGAACTGAAAAATTTAAAAAAACTTTACATTTTAAAATATCAAACAATTTATTGAACAATTGTTAAAACATCTTTGAATAATCCGCATGCTTATTAATAATGGACAATTTAATACATTTTGAAGCATATATATTTTCAAACTACGCTCATCTTGTAATGTTATGTTAAAACTAAAAATGTGGCTGAATATTGCACAAAAAATGAACAAAAATAAAAATATATCAAAATAAAAAATGAAAACTTTTTAAATTGTAGGTATAGCAAATAATAACGTTCATGTAAATATTCCATACTTTTCAACGAACAAATTTTGAGTTGCAATGATATTTAACTAATGGCATCTTCTTTGAATTAAGCCTCAATCCAACTTAATAATCTTTTTTTTCAACTGATCTGAGCAACTAAAATTTGCTGGTGTGGCTAATAATAATGACGAAGGGGTGCAGTTTGACTGAACGTATAGCAACCGCACATCGTAGAATTTTTAAAATTTAATGAAAAAACAATGAACTGAAACGATAGCATTATCATTTTAATCAAATTTCATCTTTAGTTCTTTCAATTTAAAAAAATTCACGGTAAAAATTGAACGAATATTGTATTGTCGCCAACAAAATTTACCTGACACTTACCTGACCAACCAACCAGGAGGCGAGAAAGAAAAACAAACAAGATTGTTGTACTGAGCTTTCAACAAAACAGATAGCAGAGCCGCTGTGCCAGCCCCCAAGCTGTGACCCGTTATGACAAGCCTGAAGTTCTAAAATTATTTTGTAATTGATAAATAAATTGAATGAAATAAATATGCATGTTACCTGCCTGTCAGAAATAAAAAGAAAATTTAAATTGAAATATTGTTCCATGTTCCATGAATAAAATCATCAAATAGTATCATAAAGAGTGAAAATAAATCTGAGTGTCATATTTGGTTTAAAATTGGCAGAGTATACACAATTTTCCCTAATATAAGTTTAAAGGTAAGAAATCGAAAATGTAGCAGCCGTAGCAGCAAAAAACGAAACATAGAGTGTCCTTGTCCAGCCTATGACAAGACATGAAAATATGGCATCCTTAAGAATCTGCACAAGGCCGAATAAAGAGGGCGATTGCCTCGGTTCATATAAAATTTCTTAAACAATAGAACTTTAAAGTAAATTACAACAATATGTTTTCTACAAGTAAAAAATTGGACATGGGTTGCATTTTATCCGTAACACTCTTTTGCAGGAAAAATTTATGCAGATCATAATTCAAAGACATTAATAATTGTAGAAAACGTTGAGAAACTTTTATTTCTTGCATACAATATACGTTTATTTGTATTTAACTATTAAACCAAAACTGTCACTTTCAAACAATATTTCAGATTCATTGGATTCTGTTTTTTCTTGCATTTGTGTCCGCTATTATTTTCATATCATTTTATCTTTCTATATTTATTTTTGATTTCATTTTATTGAAAAAATGTTTTGAAGAGATTGTTTAAATTTTTAAAAGGAATATTATATATTAAAGTTATATAAATAATGTTTTAATGAAAACTACAACATTCGAATTCGGTCGAAAATATTTTCATAATTTCGGCCTTTTTTCGGTCTCGACCGAAAATTTTTTTGTACATTCGGCTTTTTTCAGTTTCGGCCGAATGTCAATTTCGGCTTTGTTTCGGCTTCGGCCAAAACAGAAAAAGCAGTTTCGGTCGGTCTTTAATTCAAAACAAATTGCACTCGATTTCCAATATCAAACGTTAATAGAATAATGAAAAGACACACAAAGTTAACTCGTGGGCATCTATTAAATGGAACAGCGCAACACATAATAGCTTGCAAAACCCCAATTGCTGACAATCTAATTGACCAAAATCAAGAAATTTTTTGACACGCGAAGACAACTAAATTATTAGAATTTCTAAAATACATAAATCTATATGATGCGATTTAACCAGAACAAAATAACTACATAAGAATAAAACCGCATTCCAATAAGGCACATCATAGCATCATTCCGGAGCTGCAGTACCGTAAAAAATGAAGAAAAAAATTTGAGTGATAACATTTCGCAAACACTGAATTATTATTATAAAAAACATTTTTGCCACACGAAACTTCAAAATGTCAATGAATGAAATAGTCAAACTGTTTTAATGGAAACTATATCATGATTCATTAACTAGGTAATAATAATAATAATAATAATAATAATAATAATAATAATAATTAATAATAATAATAACGTCATTTATCAAACGCCAATTAAAAAGAACTGAGGAAGAAAGTATTACAACAAGTGAATACATCTTTTGACACTTACAGGATATTTAACGAAAGCATCATCCAACAAATGAAGATCCGTCAATTTCTTTTGAATATCATAAGCTGCTTGCAATATGCCTTTGTGTGCTCTGGCATCCCCGTCAAAATCTATATCCACAGCTTGACTCTCAATTGTCAAGTCAGTCAGAGCATCCTAGAAGGGAGGGAGAAATTGAAAGCATGCACTGGTTGAGTATTTATCCTTTTATTCTTTATACAATTAGTATTTAATATTTTGAAAGCACGTATATATTCATTAATATTGAACAAATCATCATCATCATCTTAATTTTTAACTCCAGACAGAAACTCTGAAGCGCAAAGTCTTCATCATAATTTATTTGCAATGATGTGCACCAGTCGAGCCGATCTTTTTTTCTTTCTTTCCACTCGCCCCCTAAATGATCTCTGTCTGTTCTGTTTTCTTTTTCCAACTCCCAATTCATCTACTTCGAACTTACCGATAATAAATCCTAGAATAAATTATTCCCCTTTTGGTTCGGGTTAATGATGATGATAAACAACGTAGAGCATATACATACAGTAAATAATACGTAACTTATGGAAATTGTTTTTAAACGAAACTGGCGGATTGAAAATAGTATTTCAAAAAGTTTTAATAAAAATTTAACCTGAAATGACAGTGTTCCTCTGATAGCTACAACAATTGCTTTGTATTCATGGTCGACAGCAATGTAAAATGGAACCTCATACAACTGAAATCATAACTATATATGTACATATAATTTATAAAATGCTATACACAAACATGCACGCACGCACACAAGTCAACCGTAAACTTTCAAAAGCTAAAAATTCGGTAGATTTTATCAAATATTGAAAAAATTTTATCCTGGAAAAACTTTCAGAAGCTAAAAACTCGTTAGATTCTGTAGATATATATATAAAGCGCTAAGCAAAAATTTTTGGGTTTAACTTTTTAAAAGCGTTATCTTAAACAAAATCATAAATCTTTAAAATAGCTCCAACAGTGAATATGATAACCATGAAAAAAATCAGTAAATGACAGTCCCAGCTGACGTAAAGGGCTTTTAATTTCTTCTTAAAATCATCCTCTTTGGAAAACTGTCATCAGCGTTAGATCTTAAACTTGCGCCACTAGATGCTGATCATGTAGGTTTTCTTTACATCTTAATGATGGTGAGTAGACTGCACCTCTTGTGTGGTGACCTCAGAGGCGCTTCCTTGAGCTGCCCTAGTGGCTACTCCTAAGACTGAGAAGAGAAATTTTGAGATTTTATATAAAAAAAGACGAGCTTGCTGACAGAAATGCACAGGTTGGAATAATCTTCCAGCTGAAGTAACGTAAATACCGATTTCAGTGAAGGAGTTCAAAAATGGACTAAAGGTTTTATTATTGGTTTAAAAAACATTTGCATATAGTTTTAATAATAATAATAAAAACAACAACAAAATAATAGTAACTATAAATAATTAAAACCAATTAAAATTGAAAGAACGTATAAACAAACTCTGTTCTTGAAGCTGGCATATATAATGTCTTTTTGTTGGATTTTCAGCTGATGTAAGATAGCATTAACATTACAGTAGCAGGTGTCGCTGTTAATAGCAGGATTTCTTTTCACGCAACAAAAGCTAAAATCAAATTTTATGAAATTTTAATAAAAAATATATAAACCATATAAAGATGTCGTAAATTTTGTAAATTTTACACTCAAACTATTTAATTTCCCATTTTTTTATAGTTTTACTCATATTTGTTATATCTTTGCAAATGACTGCTGAAAATATGAAAATTTATATAAGTGTTACCCAATAAATTGAACAACTCATTTCCTCTTGTGAGATATTAAATAGTTATTGGTGGAAATGGCATGATAAAGCAAAAATATAGCAAAAATAATGGTGTAATGGTGATGAATTAATATTAAGACTAAATAACGTAACTATTGAAAAAGTTTCTACAGTTTTGACACTATTGGGTGTTTACACCGGCTGCAGTTAAAATTTTAATGAGCACGTAAGTAACCTATTAATTAAAATCAATAGAAATAATGGAATCCTAATTAGAATTAAATATCTTTTTACCATTCCATGTCACTCATCATCTTTATTACTAATCCTAATATTAGCACGTTCATAACATTGCAACTTAATCTTGGTCATAAGGGGAAACACACATAGAACCTATCTGTTAAAAATTTTCAATGCTCAACATAAATACTACGACATATATATTTAGATAAATATTTATCTAATGTTTTTATATAGATGAAAAGTTTATTAACTTTTAAAATAAATCTCTATGAATCAAGTTGCCTCGAGCATAATATATATTATGGTAATGCAAAGGTTTTATATTTTTATATATTAGCAATATATTTAGATAAATATTTATCTAATGTTTTTATATAGATGAAAAGTTTATTAACTTTTAAAATAAATCTCTTTGAATCAAGTTGCCTCGTGCATAATATATATTATGGTAATGCAAAGGTTTTGGACGAAATCCTCAGCGGACCAATAAATCTCTTGGTCAAGTAGGTCAATGCTAACTAAGTCATCAAACAATCACATGTTTGAGGTCAAAATCCCCAAAAATGAATACCTATTCACCACTGATCAATAGCTTTCAGAAAAATAATATGTAAAAAAACATTATTTCTTGGTAAGTCCATTGAAAACGACATCTGAAATATTTGCAAGTTTGGTGCAATATAAACTTATACATCTTTGCGTTTCAAATATTCAATTTAGGTCAACACACAATATATCAAAGTAAGAGATAGCATACCAGCAAACCAAGAACTCGTAAAACTATAATCATAAAATTTTGATGAACTTTTTCCACTAAGTCTCATTTAAATTTTACGAACTACAAATGAGGTGCAGTCAACGTTCAGTCGAATGTTTTTGCAATTTTCTTTAGACTCTAAAGCCTGAAACAAAGCAATACAACTAGTGATAAGTAACAAGTAAAAGAGCAATTGTCACGTCCAACGTCCGTTATAATAAAAAGGTCAAACTTAGTTAACGCTATTTTTAATTATTTTCAATCACAAGATATAATATAACGAATTTTTTACAATCGTAAATTCAAATTGTATTATCTAGCAATATGTCATAATATAATATCATTGACTTTATTTTATGCTATTTTTCGTCAATTGAAGCTTACTTTGAAGAGCAGCACAATTTCCCGGGCCCAAAGAAAATATTTTTATAAAGAAAAAACATCCATCCGTAACTGGCTTGTGCGAATTTCATGAAATGTGCGGCATTTGTTAAATTCATCCATTCTTCAGGAGTCATTGCCTCATTAAAACTCAAGAAAGGTCTTTTTATTTCCCTATGTGGCTTTAAAAGATTTGTTTTTTCGTTCGTGTTCATTTTTTGATCTTCGTGCATTAGAAACATACCTGCAACCAAGTCTGTCATAACTAAATCTGTTTTCTAACAAACATTTATCAAAGTAAACAGTTATTTTGAACACAATGGAAAAGGCCAATTTAAAAAAATTAGCTACTTACATAAAAGAATGCAGCGAAAAACTTGGAGATATCATTGAAATAAGATTCATTTAGATCATCTTTGTTTATGTAACAACAGATAATACGACACCTGAAAATAATGGGATAATAGAATAATTTATAATGTTAACGAATAGTTGAAACATATTCTAACAATAAACAACTTAAACTTTATTCCTAAATAACTAAGTAGCCAGATCGTAACAAAAATGTTCTAGATTAACAATCGGTTACTTCATGTTGATTCTAGATATATGGTTACCCTAAAACAAGTCTAATAAGGAAAATTGAAAAAACAAACTTTAAATTGATTAATGCCAACAATTCGGTAGAATTCATACAATACTGTATAAAATATGGTCTCCTTCCAAAATATTATATATATATATATATTTTTTTTTTGGTAACAGACTGTTGTTAACGCAACATTCAAAAATCAACACA